AAATCCGGATCAATTGCCAATTCTTCAAAAATGTTGATGAGGTGTGATAACTGCTGAGCTCCTTCCGAAAGTGCCAAGTATTCCGCCGCGCAAGTCGACATAGCCACCACCGTCTGCCTCTTTGACCCCCACGCGATGCTGTTTCCGTCGTGTGTCAACAAATACCCTGTCGTCGACCTTTCATGCTCGCCTCCCCAATTTGCATCCGTCCAGAGATCCAAACCACCGCCCCCGCTTTGATAGACCAAACCCTTTTCCGTCGTCCGTCCAAGATATCCAATGAGCCAGTCAAGAGCCGTCCAGTGTGATGCTGATGGTGCCGCACAGAATCTTGCTAACATGTTGACAGCATAGGCAAGATCGGGCCGAGTACCACAAGCAAGATACATGAGCGAGCCAATAACTGAACGGTATTCTGTTTGATCAATGGGATCACCGGCATAAGATTCCAGTTCTGTCTCCGGGAGTGGACAGTGGTGAGAATAGGCCAGTCGCTTGTAGGAGGAGACAATCTGGTTTGCCATGAAAGATTGATGGAGTTGTAGATGTGAACCATACCATACAAAATCAATACCAACTAGACGCCGTACTTCATCAGACCATTTTATTTCCAGCTTGCTTTCCATGCCTTTGCGCAGATCATTGAGGAGAGATTTGTCTGATGTGAGAGCGAAGCCGTCATCCACGTGTAGCCAAATGATTATGAACTGGCCATCGCGTTGAAAAAGATACAATGATGGTTCTATTTTGCTAGCCTCAAAACCGAGTGACTGGACCGTTTGTTGAAAGAACTTCCACCAGCATCGGGCCGCTTGTTTGGTTCCATACAGGGCTTTCTTGAGGAGCATCACTTTTCCTTTGAGGGACGGGTTGATTTCGACCGGTGGTTGAATGTATACTGTTTCCTCAATCGGGCTGTAGAGATAGGCTGAGCTGACATCAAAGGTTGCGGTTGGGAAGTTGTGGGAAATGCTGAGAGAAATAAGAAATCGGAGGATGTTGAGAGAGGCTGTTGGTGCATATGTTTCGTTGTAGTCGAGGCCCATTTGTTGGTTGAATCCTTTTGCGACATACCTGGCTCTGTATTTGTCAACAGTACCATCTGGCTTCCTTTTGATGAAGAATACCCATCGTGCACCTAGTGCTTTGCAGCCTTTTGGAGCCACAATCGGTACCCACACCTCCAGTTGGCCAAATTTCAGCATCTCATATTCAGCAGCGGCTCTCCAGAGATCGGCATCGGGTCCAGCTAGGGCTTGCTTGATGTTCTTTGGTAAGTTATGTTCTTCCGCAACAGGCAGGAGGGAGAGTTGCCGTGATTCTTCTTCAGCAATTTCAGCAGTGCGTTCTTCACCAAGCCTCAGGACAATTTGCTTCAGTACAAAATCGACATCCACTTTATCCGCTTTTGGTTTTGGGACTAGATCCGGACTTGTTGTGGTCTCCATCGACTTGACTGGGAGTTTTTGGAAATCGGGGAACGTTACCGAAGCCGAATGGACCATCCGACGTTCGTTTGGTACCCAAAACATCCAACCCGCACCTGCTTCCGGATATCCAAGGACTCAGGAGTTTCCCTTCTTCACCACGTTCCTCAAGTTTAGATGATTGTTGCTCTTTTGGAACGTGAAGGATTCCTTTTGCACCAAATGGGAACAGTGTCTCTGGCTTTGGCTTGACTTTGAAGAGAAGTTCAAGAGGAGTCTTGTCTCCCGTCTTGGAGTTCGGGATGCGGTTGTGAAGGTGTGATGCAGTCGAGTAAGCATAGGACCACCAGTAACTGGGCAGCTCACTCGAGTGGAGCATTGTTCTTGCCATATCCCCCAATGTGCGGTTCACACGCTCTGCTTCGCCATTCTGTTCTGGCGAGTACGGTGTCACCGGTGCAAGTATTGTCCCTAATTCTTGAAGTTGAGGCGCGAGACTTTTGGTGTATTCAAGTGCATTGTCACAACGGAGGTAAGACGGAGCCTTTCCCAAGACAGTCTTGAGGTGTCGGATCCAGCCAAGAATTTTGTTGGGAACTTCGCTGCGGCTAGCCATCGGAGCACAAAAAGTGTAAGTGCTTGCATGATCTCGCATCGTGACCAGGAAGCAACAGCCGTTAATGTCCAGGTTGAGGGGGCCAAGGACATTGGAAACACATAGATCTAGTGGGTTGTCTCGTGGGATGAGGGTTTCCATTCCCAGCGTCTTCTTGTCTAAGCTTTTGGATTTAGCACATTGCTCACAGAAGAATGGCTTCCAATTGATCTTCTTTTCCGGATAGTTGACCCAAAGAAAATTCTTAACAACACCATCAGAGACGTGGCCTAATCTCACGTGCCAAACATACGGATCAAATGAGGGAATATGTGTGATTTTATTGCATTGCAGAGAGGGGGAAGTTTTCAATGACCAGCAGTAGTTATGGAAAATGGTTTCATAACTATTACAACAGGGATCAACTAGGGTGGCCGTTGTTCCTTCATAGATGAGTTTCCAGCCTTCTGAAAGTAGTCGACCTGTCGAGAGGATGATGCCATCAACACCCGGGCAGTGATAGACCTCATTGATGATCAGAGGACCCTTCGGTGTCGGGATCGTCACACTACCGATGTCCGTCACAGTGACATTACAATTGGAAACAGCCAGATAGAATGTACGAGGTTGAGTTAGCTTCCGATCAACCTTGAACAGGGAAGAATTGCTGCTTACGTGGGCAGATGCACCAGAGTCAAGCAGGCAACCCTCCGAGACATTCGGGATGTTGACTTGACGAAGGCGATCTCCATCTGGACGGCGCGGTGGCTTGTACTTGGACTCCTCAGAGGTATGGTTGTCCGGCGGCGAGGCAATCTTCTTCATCGCGACATCCCTCCAGAAAGCAGTACAGTCAGAGTACCAGTGACCCTCTTTATCGCAGTACACACATGCATTTCCGTATCGGTTCAGCAAGGCTTCACTCTGGCCTTTTCCTTTATAGTGGATGGCCTTGTCAACAGACAGTTGAGGTGGTTGCTTGTCTGCTGGAGGATGGCTGGGGTTTTGGTTTCGGCGCTGCGGTGCTTGGTAGTACCGGGCTCCCGATTGCAGGGCTTGAATCCGATCTAGGTCCATCGGTGCCGGTCCATTGTTTGGGGTCTTCGACTTCAGCTTGCCAGTTGCCGATTGGATGACCGACGAGACGTTGGCAAACGCGGGCTTGTCCTTCAAGTCGAGTTGTTGATCAACCAAGAATTCAAAGGTCTTCGAGTCCACTCCAATCGGCGGCTTGAAGGATGTTTGAAGTAACAAACCGCTAACCTCAGGCCACTCGATCTTAAGTTGATCGAGTTCGGCCATTATCGTTGCCCACTTAGATAGCGTGAAACTGTCCGAGGGAGCTTGATCGGTGACGAGGGCCATGAGCTTGTCGATGAGTTCGATCTTGTGTTGCCGATCGGACTTGCTACAGTTTGTCTTGAGGAGATTGTAGAGTTCAAGCGGCGCCTTGAGCTTAGAACTCTCAACTATACCAATGAGCTGATCTTTGATCGTGTTGCGGATAATGCTAGCGATCGAGGAGTTCTCCGTCGACGAGAGGCCTTCAAAGTTATCGGTAGTCTCAAGAAAGGACTTGTCTTTCATAAAAAAGTGCATCAATGTACGGTCGAGCGCATCGTGCCATACTTGGAATTGTACACCCTCGTAGTCTAGAATGGGCTTGCGAGGGTTGATTTCTTTATGGGCCGATAGGGGTGATCGGCAGAAGTTGCGGAGCAGGATCTGCTTGAGGGATTGAGTGTCGGCTGGGGGTGGGATGGGAGGAGGAGGGTTGTTGGGTGGCGGTTGATTACGGATGGTTTCAACCGTTGACCGAAGGGTAGCGATTTCCGAACGCATGCTTATAAAAAGCTGTCGAGCCTGTTCGGGAGTAATTTCATGCTCGCTTTGGTTTTCGTTGGGGAGCAACATCCTCTTTTTTGAATCGGAGTCGATGGAGGAGGATTGGGATGATGGTGGTAAGTCAATATCGTTATCGATGTCTCTTGAATTTCCTTGAAGTATTCCTCTTCTTTGATCAATATCTTCTTCTCGTCTTTTTCTTTCTTTTTCGTGGTTTAATCCAAACCAGTTACTCATCAAGTCCGATCGATGACCTTATAGAGAACGCGGAGAGGTGCTACGTGCAATACGAAAGCCAGCTTTTAACCTATAAGATGCACGGAGGCAAATGGGAGCTGGTCGGTACAGTCCCGTCACGGTTAGCTATCGGCACGGCAGATTCCGGTCTCCAATCTCGGTATAGATTACTTGATAAGAAGGTGAAAGACTAAACTAACCTGGTCGGTACAGTCCCGTCACGGTTAGCTATCGGCACGGCAGATTCCGGTCTCCAATCTTGGTGAGGAAAGAGAGAGGAGGCCGGAACCGGGACTGACCAGGCTATAAACTATGTACAAAGCATGATCTAGGTTAGGGTTATGACTATCACTAACTAGGTTAAACTCTTTCTAAGTACATAGTTTATGGTCTAACTACTTTGTAATCTTGTAACTTCCTTGATCTTCCAGCACTACACTAACACTTGCAAAGCAGGCCGTGCCCGCACCCTTCCCAGGGGTATTGAAAACGGGCCGCGGTTGTTTTGGACACGGTTATACTCGCCACTTACGTGGGTCCCTAGGGTTTGGGAGCAGTCCGGGTGCTTCACCGCTTGAATAAAGGTGATCACTCTTCAAACTTCTCTGGATATCATGCTTTTTTCTGCGTTTTCTCGAGCTTGGAATTTCAAATTCAAACAGATGAGCTTAAAAGAAGGGCGGAGTGGGCAATCCGACTGGAAAACCACACAGAAATATGGCTGGAAGGCAACTAAGATTTGGTGAACCACTGAAAGCACGTCTCATTGAAAAAGTGGACCCCAGTGTCTTGATTCAATTTCGATAGGTCTGGCGGATAGTGCGCTTGAATATTCTGGGCATCTACAAAATCAACCATGGGGAGTTAGAAAAGGCACTCTTTCAAGGAAAGATGTAAGACGTGAGATACCAAGGTGCATTAGGGTCGGAATGGCGTCTTTCTCCTCTTGGACCATGATTTTCTGATAACTCTTGAGGTCGTTCCCCATGAGGATGATGTGGCTTAAGTTATCTTCATCATCTGGCGGGCTGTTTTCGCACACAAGACGTTCATAGAGGGTCTTGGGGGCGTGCGGCATGTAAAAAAATGTAGGCTGCTCGCAGCGAAGACTGGGTTCCTAATCTTTGGCAATGAAGAAATGAGTTCAATCGGTACCGCCATAACCTTGAAATTCACATCGCGACTTACAGCATCCAGCACCACATGACCCATGTTCCGCAAGTTCTCCTTATCCTTCTCGGTAAAGGCGGGGTCATAGAAGGAAACCATCAAATTTGACCTTTCTGGCATATCATTAGGCGAAGGGATTTGATGTTCTGGATTCGCCGGATTTTCAGGCCGTTGATGTGCGGACCTACGAGTTGAAGGTATGCAGTGGTTCAGCCCAGAGAAATTGATGGTGAGGAATGACCACTAACAAGATAGGTAGGATCACATCCAACAAGAAAACCAATTGGAATTGACTTTGTTTTAAGCCATGGATCCCAGTGCAGGATGCAACTCCTGGGGTCAACACGGGCTGGTAAGCGGCATCCGGTGAAAATGAGCCCAATGCCAAGCATGTAATTTTTCGAGGTGGACCTGGCGTTCCCGGATCATTCAAACACTGAGCAAACCAAGCTGCCACGATAATCAGAACCCGGTTTTTTTTTCATAAGTAGCTACTTGATTGATTTGCTCACTTGAGGATAGGCTGAGCCACTGAGACTTTTCCATCGCAGACCTCCTGTTCTCAAGATGCTGACTCAAATCGAGCGGCGCTCGAGTGACTAGATCGAGAGTTGCGCTGTGTTTTCCATTATTGCGTCGTTTCCGATTCTTTTTGGTTGAACGTTGCTCGACATAATGGAAGCCTACTGCAACGATGGTAGAAGGACGTGATCTGAGGTACCGTGAGCCAAAAGCTTGATAAAATTGACATAGTATCCTCGGGACTCACCGGTTTGTTCGATATCTTTTTGCATTCTTGATATCTTACCATTCGGCTGCAGCAGTTGGCGGGCGGCGGGATAGATGTGTTTATGCAAAACTCAAGTCTCAGACTGGTGCGACTCGAGCGCACGCCTGGGCCGCTCTGCAGTTGCGGACGTCATAAACCGAGCCTGGACTTTGGGGGTGTCCGAGTCTAAAAGCCAAAAAATAAGACCATCTCCACCCGGGGAGGTAAACTGCGCGGGTAAACCAAATTTACCTCCCCAAGCCCTTAATTTCCCTACCACCGGGCTGGTGGTAAAGGGGAGGTAAATATAGGCCTCTTTTGGCCATCCATGATTGTCATATATGATCATGGCAGATATTTTGGGGACGCACAACATTATATGACAGGGGGTGATCAACATGTTTGGCCGTCCACGTCATATCCACTCTCTTATGACGGAAATGGCCAACGAGATATATCTCCCTGCCAAATTGAAATATTGGGTCCCCCCCCCCAAAATTTACCGTCATAAGACCATCTCCACCCCAAAGGGTCCTTCGAGTTGTTGAATTTACAAACTCTTCAAACTGCGGCGCGCCTATAGCAACCCGGTGAAACTTGATTTTCCACCGCAGGGTGATCAAGTAGGTGTGTTGTGTGTGAAAGGCCACACAATAGGGGAGGAGGATCTGGATTTCACCAGGATTGACCTGTGAAACCGTTGGGTTGGGGAGGTACATGGGTTGGTATAGCAATTGCACATCTAGCAATGCTATACCTCCCGAGGGGGGGGGGGAACTACGTTTACCTCCTCTTTAGCACCCCCGGTGTGGTGGTCCAGGCTGTTGTGCGCAACAAAACTGCCAAAACCCCTACCTTACAACCTAAACCACTTACATATATGAACATATTATTGCATAATCAGAATCTGCATACAATTTTACCCATAGTCACTCACTACAACTATACCTCTATCTCTATTAGTTTAGAAGATAATCCAATATAAAGGTTAAAGCCTTACCATAAATAGTCATTAACTAGTATTTAATAGTATTTTACCACATATATATAAGTACATACACATAAATTATTACATCAGCAGGCCTCCACCAGTAGTGCAGGCCATTTATGCAATTCTTGCATGCATATGTGCAACCATTAGGCCTCCACTTAGTTACTTAATTGAATTTACGCAGACTTTGCATAAATGCATGTGGACAGAAAAACCTCCACCAGGCAGTGCAACCAGTTATGCAATCCTTACATACAGTAGTACCATATTTAGTTATTTCCACAGCATAATTAGCTCAATGCATGTACTCTTTGCAGGAGGCAGTGCAACCCACAAGGTCACCACCAGCAAAATCACCTCAACTGCATCACCACCAGCAAAAATAACTCAGAAAAGAATATATAAGGAGGCCTATCCTTCACCAATTCCCCCCATCATCACTCAGCAGCCGGTTCACTCCCCCCAGCCAGCTCAGTGGTCATCAACACAAACACCTTCAACATTAAAGTCTAGTCAACACCAGTAACAACAACAACACCAACAACAACACCAACACCAACACCAACACCAACACCAACACCAACATCAACAACAACAACCAACAGTTTCACTACTTACCCAGAATCACCGTATAACCATAAAACCCTATAAAAATATTCCACTTGGATTGTTTTCACACCCACATTCACCGTGTAAAGGTTGTACAACCATCTTGTATTGAATTACATACTGATCTAGGTCTGATAGAGACTACTACATATAAGTTTTCTCCATCATAAAGTTACGCCACAACAATAAATTAAATTGTTGTCAGAATTCTTGTGTAGTAAATAGAGGGGCAGGTCTTTCAAACCACCCGTAACAGTAAATATTATCTAGTGAAATATCGTATTGTTATTTCCCCCTCAAGGACTGCCAACCCATCCCAAAGGAGTTCTCACATCTGGTGTCCCAACAGTGGCCGACAACTTTCAGAAGATCAACGACGTATCATCAATATCATCAAGACTTACACTCAACCCTGGATCACGAGCACGAGGATTCGACTTTGGCGCGGACAGGCGAGGAGACCAACGACCAAACGGACTTAGGCGAGGAAACAATTACAGATAACAGGATTAGGAGGACTTGGCACAACGGTAGTTTAACACGGCAGGAGATCCATTCACTCGAGGAAGTTGTGTAGGAAATCGAACGGGAAAAACGGCAACAGGGAAATATGGCAAATCCGGAGGACTCCAGCATGGACCAATCGGCGATAATCCAGGAACAACAAGAGAAGATATCAAGGATGGAATCATCTATGGCGGAAATGAAGGAAATGATGAAATCTTTCTTCAGTCAATCAGCATCTCCCCGAGGCCCACCTTTACCAGAAACCCCATCTCCAAGAATACAAAACCTGAGATTTGGAACGTCAACCCCTTACCCCGGCAGGATACCAGGATTGGAGACGACCATTGGCGCTGGAGAGCAAAGTATCCCTACTTCAGCTATTCAATCACCAGGGTTTGAACAAACCAGGATCAGAACAGAAATCAAACTTCCGGACGAACAGAGAGGAGTAGTCTTGGACACGAAAAAGACTAACCTCTACTTTGAAGGAACGGAGGTGGAACTTTTCATTAAGAGAGTGGAGAAAGTTGCGGTGTTACAGAAGGCAGGCGGAAGAGACGTGGCTTTCCAATTACCCTTTATCATCAGTAACCGGAAAATCAGTGAAGCTATAGAGCAGATGGAAGGACATGAAACCGGGAATTGGGAGCTTTTGAAGAAAGAGTTGACCAGGAAGTGGGGAAGGGCAACACCTCTGAGACGCTACAAGGAAGACTCTATACCAAGACTCATACACAAGGCCCAGGAAAATGGTGGCATCAACACTACACTAGAATACAAGAAATTCATCAGTGAATTCGAGGAAATTATGGACTACTTTACAAGGATGGAGTACCAAAATCTTAATCCGGACAGCGGAAACCCATTGTGGAAAGCACTCTCCACCGAATTAAAGAAGGAAGTTACTAAGGAATTAGCCCACGCCAAACAACTTCAGACAACAAAAGACGGGAGAAACATTGTTCCAGATCTGGAGAAGCTTAAGAAATACGTGGAAATTGCCTTGATAATTGTGGATTTTGACGGGGATGACGAGGAATACAAACCTAAGGAGCAGGTCAAGAAGACGGTTAAGATTCAGGAACCAGCAACCAAGGAAGACTTAGAAGAGAAGCTTACAAAGTTAACTTCCGCCTTGGAATATCAGAATCGTCAAGCACCGCCACACGTCAGCAGACCATCTTCGCCGGGACTCTCAGATAACAGACCAAGATACGGCCCTTTGGAATGTTTTTACTGCAAGGAGAGACATGTGGTCACCCAGTGTGAATACCTCAATCAAGATATGCAGGATCGGAAGGTGTACAAGTCTCAGGGGACCTACTATTATCCAAACCGCCAGGCAATTGTCTTAGACAAGGATTCATCTGTTAGAGAATTAGTCAGAAAGTTTGCGGAAGAGCAAAGCACTTCTTCAAATCCTCCACCCAAGGAAGCCGTGAAGGAATCAACGTCAGCGGTGGCAGAAATTGAAGAATGGGGATCTTGGGTTCCACCACAAGTAAACATGGAGGAAGGTGACCTACAAAACAACCTAGGTTTTGGACTCCGGAAATCCCAGAGACTACAGGAGAAGAATGCACCCTCCGGTAGCCAACCAGCTCCCAGCAACCCTGTAGGAACAGAGGGACAACCATCAAATATTCAGGACGAGGGGCCAAAAACAGCCGCAAGGAGAAAAAGTTTTCCGGGATCCTGGCTTGAAGACAACGACGATGAAGAAGAAGAAGAAAGGATTATTATACCTACTAAGGCTAAGACCCGACCAGTTCCGCCAGCAAAAGAAAAGCAGGCTAGGACAGAGACGGCAGATAAACAAGAGGAGATAATTGGAAAATTGGATAAATCATTGAAAGCCAAATTTTATCGCCAGTCGTACACTCTCAACTTAGAAGAAATCTTGAAGATCTCGCCAAATTTCTTGCAGAGTTTGCATGCGGTACAGCCAGAAGAAGACTTGGTTGAAAGGGGTTTGAACAGTGTCAAATTCAACTGTGCAACCAACACAAGTATTGATAATGAAGGACAAGATTCCGGGCTTACTTACGCATGTCCAGTGGGAATGGTGGATATGACCATAAATAAACGGAAAATTAGGACCTTGGTGGATACTGGTGCGGAAATGAACATCATTCCGGACAGTCTGGCAGACCAACTTGGACTTTTAACAACAGAAATATTTATGCGGTTGAAGGGAATTGGGGGACATTTTACACCAATCATTGGGATTGCGGAGAACATACCCGTCAGCGTATTTCCAGGGCACATTCACCTGGCCAACTTCTTTATTGTTAAAGGATCAGTACATACAGTTATAGGGCGACCTTTCCTTGCAGATCATAATATCCGGCTAGAGTTATCAAGTCAGAAGGGAGAAGTGTTAAGCTTTTTAGACACCGATCAACGGAGGTTATGCATACCAATATGCTTACCAAATGCACCAGGATGGCACAAAGAACCGCCAAAGCTTCGACAAGTCTTCACTTTTCAAGTCGATGAGTGGGAGGCCGATAGTATCAGTTCAAAAGATTTTGACCTTCAGGAGAGAATGGAGGAGTACAATAAAACAATTCCACTTCTAAATGAAGATCCGTGGCAGGTTGTTTTATCAGAACCCGTGGACTGGGCAAGAGAACTCGGTGCAGCAGAAGTGGACGAGGTAGCCTGGGATGCATTCCACCAAATTAATTCAGCTGTATGGGGTACAAATGCCGATCCAGAAAGAGATGCATGGAGTCTGTACAAGGAGGAAGTTCGATTACACCCTCGATTCAAGGAGGTATTCACCTGGCCTACTCAGAAAAGGTCATTACGGAAATTACCCTTATGGTTACGAGAGTTACCAGGAGGCGGCTTGGGTTCTTTGGACTCTTTGCAAATTCTCACAACGGATGCAGCGGATAGTTTCTTACAATACGGGACCTGGAACTCAAGATATGGACCTGTCAGTATTGCTATCAGACGGAGATTATACGGAGGTGGAGCACTAAAGTGGTACAAAAAGCACATATCAAGAAGCTACAAAGCTAAGAACATGAGGAATGCTAGCTTTGGAGGCTACCAGTTTTTCATTTGAAAAACTATCTCACTTACAAATGAATTTTCACATTCTTCAGTGGTGTATTAATAGCATTTTTTTTTGGGTCATTGGGTCAGGGTGTATTGCAAAAAAAAAAAAAAGAAAAGAAAAGAAAAAAAAAGAAAAAAGAAAATAAAATAAAGCATACACACAAGGCAGTAAGGCTAGATACAAATACATGGCTTATAGGAAGAAACTTTTTTTTGGGGGGGCTTGAGAGAATTTCTTTAGATTTTTTTTTATCATTTTACTCTAAGAACATGAAAGTACAAGAAACCACGAGAAAATGGATACAATCAGGCTGCAGGTTTCTAATCATCAACACCATTCCTACATACAAATAATAATAAAAAAGAAAAAAAAAAGGTAAAAAAAAAAAAGCCTTACATCTCGGATTCAGCATCAGTAGTTTGCTCCGGATCATCGTCCAGCAAGTGTGAGGAAAGATTGGACGCTCAAGCTCGTGGAACTCGTCATCTGTTGCATATGAATAAAACGAGGCGCGGGGGGAGTCCACATTCACCAAAGACATCAGTGTAGATAACACGGCGTTAGCATCTCGAAGCGGTAAAACACTCAAAAGAAGGAAGAGAAACGACTCACTAGAGCCAAGACCTTCAGGATCATCAGTGTCCATATTGGACTCGTCCGACTTAGCAAGCAAGAAGTGGTGATAGGAGCACGGGTTGGCATAATCAGAGGCCGAACGATCAGCATTCGTTGACCAGCTCACCATCAAATAGAATGGACTAATGTAAGAGGAGATAAGGGAGGAGAGACTTACAGCGAGAGATGGGCAGCTTTTTATGGACTGATTTCCAGAGGGGACGAAGAGGGGAAAGGGAGCGGAGCTCCACAAAAGTAGACAACCGGTTGTCCAAAGGATAACGATTGATAGGAGTGAAGGCGGTATGCCGTATCATCGAAGCGATGGATGAAGAGGAACCCGTGACGAGATAGGACCTATTTATATTCGAGGTCGAAGGGAGGAGCTTTGAGGATTGAGGACGATGATCGACCACAAAGGGAGGCATCGCGCTGCTGTGCTTGTCGGGCGAGTGGAGGATAGAGAAAAGGAGCCTGCATCTAAACAGTTGACGACAGGGTGATTAATCACAGCTGAGCGCCCGGTCCACAATGCAACGGTTTTTTAATACAGATAGATGGACCAAAACACATTTGACGACCGTTTTTGAGAAGAGGTGGAGGCACGGCGTGTATGTGCGGCTTACCACAGAGCTTGGCGGAGCCGAGGAGGGTACTTTTGTGAGCTGGCGAGAAATCTTGGCGAAACTAGGCGTCGATTGAGAGGAGCCGATCAACGGCGGGAGGCTGTAGTGTAACGAAACCAAACCAAACAATTGGCGAGGGCGTTGGAAACGGCTAGGGGTTTAGATGAGCTTCCGGCTGCAGGAGAGTACACACAAACATGAGGAGGCAGACACGGTTAGACCTGCTGCAAGCCATCACATCAATCAAGAGAGAGAACTTACCCGCATATAAGTCCGATGGACCAAATGAGAGTACCGTTGCGAGGTAACGAAGGATTCGGCGGCGGAGGTCGGAGGAGGGCCAAAGGGAGCCGGCAAAGACGGTTGAGTGGAGTCCGTCCTGTGAGGAACCATGCTGCGGACGGAGGCCGAGCGTCACGTGTGGAGGCGCCAGATCGCTTGCAGGAGTGTTTGGGGAGTGTTGAAAAACCGTTGCGGTTGCGGCGGGTGCTTATCGATGTAACGAATATCGCCGGCATCGAGCGGAGGTAGACATCAGAGATCGGCGGCTAAGAGGTTCACGAGTCGCGTGACATCCTCCATGCAACTTCTGCGCGCGGTGCTCGTAGTTTAGACCTGGCCGCAGACACATCAGATTGGGCCGCTGAAAAACAAACTGGGGGCTGACCCATATAAAAAAAAAATGGTCCAGTAAAAAAAAAAAACTGCAATTACAGCTCATCAACCACCACTCAATACACAACACCCGGAAAACCATACTTACACACCCCCTCAGAAAAAAAAAAAAAAAAAAAAAAAGAGAGAGAAAGAGAAGGAGGTCAAGGTCCTGCATGACCTTAAACTGCAAACCCTCAAAATACATATAGGTCCTGTATGACCTTAAACTGCAAACCAAACTAGAATAGGTCCTGTATGACCTTAAACTGCACTACTTCAAGGCTCAGAAACTCACCAGTTACGCCAAGGATGGTCCCACATGACCTTAAACTGTGAATTTAATCAAATGTTTTTCAAAATTTATCAATCACAATGGGAGGTCCTACATGACTTAAAACTGTATATCTAATTTGGATAAGAAAAATTAATCAAGCGGCAGGGCCAAGACACAAAATTAAAACACGGCAGGAAATGGATTATCATTATTTATGCACGGACAGGACTATGTGAATTGGACACCTTACAGAAGAAGAATTGGAAGAGGAGGAAGAAGGCAAATCAGAAGATGAAATAAGTAGTAATATTAGTCATAATGAAAGTGGAAGGGAAGAAGAATCCGACTCCGGAGAAAGTAACAAAGACAGCAACGAGTCAGTAGAAGGCGAATTTTAGGCCATTGATTGAACGGAAGAATAACGGATACTATACGGAAACAAATTTTTTAAATAACAAGGACTGGAGGCTTTATTTATTGAAATAACACAGAGAAAGAGATTAGAAACTAAAACAGGAAGAAAGTTCAGAAGATAGCAGATCAACCAATTATACTAAATAGTAATATAGTTTAGACTTGAATAGAGATTATCGATGTGAAGGAAAAATAGAATGAAAATGTGGAAGAAATAGTTAAGGAATCCTTCCGGGGGGACGGTGAATTGAACGTGTATTCAAAAGCCCATTCGACTCAGCGGTTGGAGACCTTTCTTTTTGGAACAGCCTTCAAATACATCAACCACCAGCCTTTTCTTTGGACTAATACCCATGAAATAGAATGAAAGAGAGTCGTATTTGGAGCCTTTGATTTGGACGTGGCAGGCGGAGAACGAGACGAGGAGAATAACAAGGACAAACGTATATTATAATTTGGGAATAAGAGGAAGAAATCAGTTACAATGAAGAAAAACCTGGACGGCGGAAACTCAATCAAAGTGGAAACCCAATCAGATGAACAGAAGGACCAAGTCATGAAGAAAAGGAGAATCAGTAGGATATCAGTTACAAATCAATACATATTAATGAATTAAAATTAGTCAACTAGAGGCGTGGGGCAGTTTTCTTGCTTACACCAGGAATGCTGCGGACAGCATTAATTTGGGGGGGGGGATGTGGTGGTCCAGGCTGTTGTGCGCAACAAAACTGCCAAAACCCCTACCTTACAACCTAAACCACTTACATATATGAACATATTATTGCATAATCAGAATCTGCATACAATTTTACCCATAGTCACTCACTACAACTATACCTCTATCTCTATTAGTTTAGAAGATAATCCAATATAAAGGTTAAAGCCATACCATAAATAGTCATTAATTAGTATTTAATAGTATTTTACCACATATATATAAGTACATACACATAAATTATTACATCAGCAGGCCTCCACCAGTAGTGCAGACCATTTATGCAATTCTTGCATGCATATGTGCAACCATTAGGCCTCCACTTAGTTACTTAATTGAATTTACGCAGACTTTGCATAAATGCATGTGGACAGAAAAACCTCCACCAGGCAGTGCAACCAGTTATGCAATCCTTACATACAGTAGTACCATATTTAGTTATTTCCAAAGCATAATTAGCTCAATGCATGTAATCGGTTGCAGGAGGCAGTGCAACCCACAAGGTCACCACCAGCAAAATCA